CGTAATTAATATAAAAAAATTTAATTAACGTAATTGTTAGAATAATAAATCTTTGAATTCGAATATATCAAACTTATTTTATTATAATCAATGACTGAAGAATCATCAATATATTATTCTGCTCCAATAGTCAATTGCAAATTAATGTGACAACAAATAGCAGTATTGTAAAAAACCATATATATAGTTAAAGTTGGTAAAGTCCTTAGGTCCGGGACTTTGGACCTAGTATTTAAACTTTAAAGACCAAGTCCAAATTTCAGGGCCTAAGGTTCTTAGGTCCCTAAAAAGTTCTAATGTATAAATTTTATAATTTATTAAAATTCATTATTTATTTAAAAATTTGATTAACAATTTGCTAGCATAAAACAATATATATAAGAAATAATACGTATTAAATTATTTAATTTGATAACAGCAAAAATAATACGTAACGAGACTAACCTGATCTATCATTTTTAGTTATGCAGTTTTCTAGTTATGCAGTGTTTTACTTGTCAAGTACAGAATCAGGTTCAAATAATTGATTAAAGTGAATCAATATAAATAAATTATTTACAACTGTAAATTTTTACAATTGCAGAATTATCGATATATATATATATATATATAACTTCCTTTAGATATAGTTTAAGATCATGATCATTTATTTCATGTACAGTATATAGTTTACAAACTGTTCGAATTATGTTTCATAATACGTATTATTTACACATTCTAATAGATCAAATATCAATATATATGTGCATATAGCGGATCTAGGTTCTAGGACTAGGTCTTGGACTAGACCAAGGTTAAGTCCTAAGACTGGTTTTATAAGGACTTTCCATGCAATAAAAACCCACAGGTTATGGGACCAGGACTGACCAGGACCGGACTTTAACATCCCTAATAGTAATATCGTTATGGTCATTATACCTCCTATGTAAGGTTGTTACGTACGTAGTAACATAGCAAGTCACCATAATAAGTTACTGCAAAATTACCATAAATTTTTAATAATGGTTTCAATTAGATGACTTGGTGAAGCTATATATGCAATTTTAAGTATATAGTGCAAATAATCTAATACTGTAACGTATCAACAAATTAAAATAGCTTTATAAAAAAAATTTAAGGACTTCCGGTCAGTGCCTTATTTATTAGGTAATTTATATATATTTGATTATTATCTATATATATATTATATCTATTTTATTACTTTAGTTTTCAGTTCATCCTATATAATATCGGTCGACCATAATTAAAGATAATTAAACATATATATTAAGCAATGAGACTATTTTAAGACACAAAATGCGCGATATGAAATAAGCTTGTCGCAGTCATTATCCAATTCTATAGTAATCGGTACATTTGCACCGACAAAAAAAACACTACCAGGTTCTAAAACTTCAGATTTGTTTTCAATTTGTAAAACACCTTTTCCCTCGGTAATAATAATAATACTAGGACCAGCAATACTTTTGAAAAATTCCTTTTGATATTGTGTATTCAAATTTGTTAATATTACAGAGAATTCCTCAATCGGTGGATCATACAACAAAGAACTAGATGAATTGTTATATGAAATTGGAGTAAGAATTTGAGATTTTGCATTTCCATATCGATAAGTTAGCATGTTTACAAGTATGGGGACATCTTTAAACTTTGGTGTCAATCCAGCACGAACCACATTATCACTTGTTGCCATGCACTCAACACAATCTATCGGAAAAAAACGATAGTAAATAGATTGATTATAAAAAAAAAAAAAAAAAATTTTTAGGATAAATAAATGCTCTTTACCTCCAAATAAATAAGCATGAGGTTCATTAGCTCCCAAAAACATAGCCTGACCTGGTTCTAATTTTACATAGTTTAACATAAATACACAAAATATTCCTACATCTCCCGGAAATTGCTCGTTCAACCTAACTAAAAGCTCTTGTGTGCTTCCTATTGGATAATTGTTAGGTTGCAATCGAGAAACTAATTTTTTCACACAAGCTACAACATTATTTGGATCTGCTGTCATCAAAGAAGCAAATAGTTGCCGAAGAGCAACTTTGTTTGATTCGACTTCTTCAACAATTTCTGAACATTCTCTTCCGCTAACAGTCTGAACAAAAGTTGATGCAACATCATTTCCAACAAGATCACGAAACTCTGGATATTCGGAAAGGAAAACTACGATTTCCTCTAATGGACGAAAACCACATAACGTTTCAAACTCCGTAATTGCTACAGCCATCTCAGGTTTGTGATTAGGATCTGTTATAAAAAAGCTAATGAATGAATTATCTGAAATAAACCTTTTTTAGGAAGAACTTTATATCAATATAAATAATAGTCACCTTTGTATATGTTTGGATACTTTTCGAATAGTTCTTTACCGAGTTTCTTGTCAGGATGAGCTTGGATCGAAAGTGCTTTGCCTACAGACAAGACTTTAAACAAGAATGGTAAATCACCATTGTAAATTTTGGCCAATTCTGGAGTTATAAGTTCAGGTTTAGATTTTATTACATCTTTAAGAAAACTCGTTGGTTGAATTGCCAAAGTGCTTGGGCCATTAGGGTGTGTACCCATCCAAAGCTTAAAAATTGAGGCATCAAAGATTGAGATTGCTTAAAAGAATTTGGTTAAATTTAATGCGTTTAAATAATGTAATTCACCTCAGCATAAGGTTTGTCAGATTCGACTGCAAAGTCATCTAAAGCTTTAATGTACTGGGCTACTTTGCTGTCAGCACCTAATTTTCCCCAAGCATAATTTTGAGCGGCACATCTTAAGCGGTAGACAAGAGGTTGTGACATTCGGTACACTTAACGTTTGAGTAAAAATTTGGCATGCCATTGTGTGTAATAAACACTTCGATAATCACGTTATCTAATGATGATGGGCTAATTTTTATATATAATACGGAAGACTTGATAAATCGAATTTGATAGTTATATTTATAGATATTAGTAATATATTAATATTACAATAAAATATACAGTAATAGCAATACGTAGCGAATTGAGTACGTATTAATTATATTTCAATGCTGTATATTAAAATATATAGAAATAGCATTTATTATAATGATCTATTTGTATACATATTTATTCTGTTACTATTTCATATAATTTATATTTTAGCGAATATAATGCTAAAATTATTTTTTGTATTTTGCAATAATTTCAATATTTAAATCTGCAAAAACGAAATTTATTTTAATACGTATCGGCTTTTAAAATGACCAAATTAATTTAATTAAGTTAACATCACTAGTCGTACACCCGGAGGTGCACTAAAGATTCACATAAATGAAATTTATAGCTTAAACCTGCAATTTTTACCAATTTAGTCTAAAAACCTGCATTTATTTACAATTTTATAATCGAAGAGCTTGTTATGTCGCATGATAAGAATTTATAAAATACAAATAGCAATCCGAATGTTAAATACAGTCCTCTTGTCAAATTATAAATATATTTAATGTGATTCATTCTATGTCATTCTTGTGCTTTTAACTTTTAAACGCAGCCAATTGTGGCACTTCTTCAATAAGATCATTATTAGAGATCAAACTATCAATAAACCCTCTAGTAGGTCCATACATAAGTTTACTACATGTCTCTTTATGCTGGCTTATACCATTTTCATTGTCACTTTTTTGATTTTGAAATTTTGGTAATATATATTCAATAAAGGCTTCA